GTGAGGGAGATATTTGTCAAACAAACAAAATAAAAATGTTCAGCTTTATAATAATCACCCAAAAACTTGAATACCAGAAAAAAGTCAAAATAATAAAATGAAAAACATTTTTTTTTCTATAAAAATTGACATTCAAACACCATGGAATACCATACAAAATTTACACCAAAAATGATAAAAGAAAAACTTTACAATCATTTCAAAGAATCAAATCACAGATAACAACGAAAATTTTGAATGAATAAAAGCCACAACAACAAGAAAAATCATGTTATAACAAAAGATATTGATCTCTCATTGGTAACCACAACAAAAACGTCAAAAGGCAGAAAAAAAATGTGACATATGTCAAAAATTTATTTTTATATAGGTAAAAAAAGATCCTTTCAAAAATATATTCAATCGATTTTAACAAACTAATGATGATGATGATGATAATATCAAAATGAATTTTCTTATTTTTTTCAAATAACGAATGAAAGTTTAATCCTAATTGGTTACTTAAACATACACACACAGAGAGAGACTGGAAAAAGTGTTGATACGTTTAATGATCATTAATTTAACATCATCGATATCATTAACTAAAATTGTATTATGATAATGATGATGTTGATAGTAAATTTCTTTATTATTTATCAATAAATTATTTAAACATTTTAGCTTAATTATTAGCCTAGTGAACTGAAGGTGAACTTGTTTTTTTTGAAACTGTTGTTTGAAATTACAACGATAATCATTACCAATATTGCAACAAATGAATAAATCCGCCATATTGTCTATTTCCTTTCCACTTCACAAACAAATAATCAATATTTTTCAATTAACAATATTATTATCCTGATAAATAATAAACCATGTTGTAGAAATGTAAAAAAAATTTCTTGCAATATTGTTTTGTGAAAATTTAATAACGTAACAAAAGAAAAATCTGTTGAAACAGATGCCTGATGATATTTTTTCTAGCTTGAACAAAATGTAGTCATTATAACAACTACTATATATGATCAGTGAATAGTGACTGAAAGCCCTGTGTTATTTTTTCCGCTTTTGTTGTTGTTGTAATAATAGATATACTTGGTCCATCATCTTCATCATCATTATACGAATCATCAACATCTTTATAAGTTTAAATTGACTTTTTGCTGTTGTTGTTATTGTTATTATTATTCTACCATCCCGAAGGTCATTGGTATACATGGGAACAGATTTAATGATGAAGCTATAGATGAATTATATTATAATCAAAGAAATAAAATAAAAAATTCAATTCAATATCGATCGGCATAGAATTTGATTGGTTCATCATCATCATCATCATCATCATCATTGATGATATAGATGAAAGAAAAATTTCGTGAGTTTTGCTTTTCTTTTACATTATTATTCAATGATGATGATGATGATGATGATGATGGGAAAGAAATGAACATCAACCAAAATAAGACTTCGATGGTCTATAGTCGTCGATGATGAATTGTCCTGTTTGAATTTTGTTGATGGCCTGCATGCCTGCCTATATGTAATTGAGTTTTAAGTTTTTTTTTCTTCTCTTCTCCTTGATCAAAAAAAAAACAAGAAAGAAAGGAAAAACGAACAGAATCTACAAAAAAAAATAGATATGTAGGGAGAAAGATAGAGAGAGGCCAAATTGAAATATTTCGGATGAAATGATGAAAATATATAATATGATCAATACACACACACAGCCCACCGAAAACATATGAAGAAAGTCATCATCATTGAATGTGATTGGTACTTATTTTCATTTGAAAATCGTTTTTTTTCTTAGCCAGTCCATAATTCAAATTGAATGAAATTGAAATTGAATGGATTGTATGCGACATTAAGGGGAAAAAATTACCAAGAAAATAAAGAAAACGAAAAAACCAAATTAGCGAGGTGTGTATGTGTGTTGTGTTTCGGTATTTTCTTTTTTTTTCTTCTTCTTTTTCTTGATTATATTTGCCAAAAATTCATCCATCAATCGATCGATCGATTCGTTTTCTTTCGTTCACTATAAGAATCGACATTCATAATGATGATGATGATGATGATTTAGATGTATGGTTTTTATCATTTATTTTCAGGAGAAAAAAAAACTAAAATGACCATATTTTTTTTTGTTCATTTACAAAATTCTAAGCTTAACAAAAATAAGAGGGGAAAAAATAACACATAATTTTGAAAGTTTAGGCGTAACCTTAAGACTGTAAAATATAGAAAGAAAAAAAACGTGAATTGAGATGAAATTTTTTTCGTCAAGTCACATTATTCTAGTCACTATATATAAATGGTATTATCAACAACAACGGAAAGCCAAGTTTTCCAGTTTTAAGATAATTGAAATTTTTTTTCTGCTTGAAAATAAAGTAGGCAACAACAATCAACCAGAGAAAATAAAAATTGTTAATGTTTTTGATGAAAAGCGATTGAAAGATAACAAATAATGTTATCTGGTTTCTAATTCAGGATACCTGTTAAAGTTGAACAAAAAATCATCACTTAGTTCTCTCTCTTATACACACACACATCAATATGTTGAATTTGAATTTGGTGAAAAATAAATGAGAAAATCAAAAAAGAATTTAAATTTGTTGATAAAAAACAAAAACTAAAGAAACCCTATATATCTATGGAAAATGTGATTAGAAAAAAAAATACAATTTAATCTTGAGCAATATAAATTGCCTGTCTACAAAACATACAAACAAACGAAAATTCAAACAAATTGATGGTGATGATTTTCGATCATCATCATGATTATCTGAATAGAAAATAAAACACAGACACTTTACATTAAAAAAAACAAAACAACGAACAAAAACAAAAATCAATCTACAAAAAAAAAAACAGAAATCCGCTATGCAGGTGTTCAAGAATTGTTATCCCATCTTATTATCGAATGATGATGAAAACAAGAAGCTTCTTCATTCTTGGCCACACACACACACCGTGGAGTCAATGAATGATAAGGATTGAAAATCTTGATGAAATTTTTAATGAAAGAAGAAAAATCCTTTCTTTATAAAATACATACATCCATCCATACATCTGAAAAAAAACAACAACAGCAGGGATTAGATTTGAATTTTCGCTTTGTTTTGAATATTATCAATTTTCAAAAAAATGATTGAATTGAATATTTTAAACGAAAGAAATTTTTCAAAAGACAACAACATCATGTGTGTTATTTTTGATTTATGATTGATTTTTTTTATAAATTTCCAATACCAAGCCAGTACAACAATAGTAAAAATTCGGATTATTCGGATGCGATTATGATCATTGTAAAAATGATGATGATAATAATGATATTTGATGACATCAAATCGAGCATTAAAAAAATCATTTTCATTTAGAATTATGAAAAATACCAAACTTAAATACCAAAAACAAAATATACCGAAATATTGTTTTCTGTTGAAAACAGAAATATTGTTTGATTGAATGAAAGTGCAAAAAAATAAATAAGATTTCTTCCCGAAGAAAACATTGATCATGAAGTGAAAAATTCGTGATTGATTTTTTTTTCCATCATCAACAATGTTCGGCGATTTTTTCATATTTTATTTATTTGCTATAAAATCGAAAATCAGTTAATCAGGAACAGAAAAAAATATAAACCATACAGCCAATCCATCATAAAAATAGTGCATTTGGAATATAAGAAAATTTCAATCATTATCATCATCACGTTCAAATTACCAAGATGGATATCAATGAATTTATTGAAAAAAATAAAACAAAAAACTGAAAATATCTTCATGTCGTATGTTGTTTTGAATGGATCATCAAAGATTGATTCGGATATATCGAGAGTGAGAAAGTAAATAAAAAACAATTTTTTCGTTGTTGTTGTTGTTGTTGAACATCAAACCAATTCATTTCACATTCATCATCATCATCATCATCATATTCATGATGGATGAATGTAAAATGAATAAGTACGAACAAATATTTTCAAATAAAAAACAAATAACTGAATTTCTGGATACACGATGATGATGACAGCATCGATAATTGTTAGTTCACGATTTTTATTATAACTAAGCTTTGTTTTAGTTGTTTTCTTTTTGATTCAATACCTTTTTTGATTCATTCATTTATAAACATCTTGATAGCATTTGATACACAAATGATTTTTGAATTTGTTTATAGGATTTGTTTTTCTTCTCAAAATTTGATATAAGGACAATGAATTAGTCTTTCAATCATCTTTTTTTTCCTTGGATTGGCGATGATGATGATGATCGAATAAGAGAAAATAAATGATACAATGCAATTGTCTTTATATATATGGGGAATGGTGTAAATGAAATTGAATCAAAGAAAATTGTAATTTATTACTTTGAACAAAAAGAAATAAATCAGGAACATGTGGATTGTGTGTGAGTGTGTTTGTATGTATACAAATTGTAATCTTATCATCTTTTTTTGTTTTGAATGGAAATTAGAGAAAAATGAACCCACAATAGATGATAGTGTTATGGCCAATGGCCATCATTCGATGATTAATCTTTTTACCGCAAAGCTGTTGTTTCGTCATTGTGTTTGTTCCGGATATTTTTTTGTTTAGATAGAACACACACACGGATTTTCTATGATGACAATAAAAGAATGTAGTTTTGAAACAAATTTTTCATTTTTCGCCTGCTGATTATGACGCCAATCGGTCTTTTTTCATTTTTTGTTTGAAATTTATGATTTTGAATCCTTTAATCATTTGAGAAAGATTTATTCAATAAAACAAATTGAAAAATTGTTAAACCAGCAACAACCTACGATCATTGATGATTGTTGTTTTTTCAATTCCATTGTTTTTGGCCTTAATCAATTGTTTGTCCCGATTTTGAATGAAAGAAAAATTCGAATGAAATTATTATTGTTTTATTGTTTTGGTTAATATTTCCTTATCTATAGCGCCATCCATTGAGGTATTTCTAAATCATATTCACCATTGATTGTTATGATCTCTGTGCATACGTTACAAGTTTTGCTGTGCCTTATTTATACCGTCATGTATCGCATGTGATCTAATTCATTTGTAAATCTTTACATTTTTTTGAGATTTCCAATTTTTCTCATTATTGACAAGAATGTTTTCCCTACAAACACAATTGAATCTTGTTACGAAACGAACTGTTTTACAATCGGTGCGTTATCATCTTAAAAATAAACGAAAAGAACCATTCCGTAAGCCAATTTGGCAACCGATGGCTCCATCCAAATTATATCGTATTCGAAAGAAAGAAGAATTGTCTGAACAAGAAAAACAACAGCGCGAACATCTTGATTATACTTATAAAGTAACTATGGAATCAATCAAACAATTTTTGCATCGAGAATTCTATCTTCCAACTGTCGATTCTGAACAAGGTGGATCGAGCGAATTCGTTCACGAAGAAGAAGAATTGGAAAAGGCCATGATTGAAAATGATCGTGAAAATCAGAGAATAGCAGCGATGCGTGATGAGCGATTAAAATTATTTCAACAAGAATTGGATGCTAAATTGGTGGCTATGAAAATTCAAAAAGAAGAAGAAAATCGTCAAATTGGGGAACAATTTGACCAAATAGTTCGTCAAGAAATTGAGCGATCAAAGACGTATATAACTCGTGAAAATATTGATGCCAAGATTGAAGAAGCTCTCACGCATCAAACTAATTATGACTATGCGATCGATGTAAATGGTAGAATCATGTTTGATGGATCACTACATCCATATGCATTACGACCTAAAGCTGTACCTGAAACCAGTAGCCAAACTGAAGAATATCAGTCATTTGAACCAAACAAACCCGTTTATTTGAAAGCGAAAAAAATTTTTTAATTAATTCTTAAAAACTAGAAATTAATAATCAAATAATGTAAAAAATAGTTTTTTCTTGAAAAAAAAATTAAATTTGTCTTTAAAAATCACGTAACATTCTTTATGAGCGGATTCGTGTTGAAAACCGCGTTGATTTCGTTTTGGAATTCTAAATATTTTCAGATTTTTTGATTTCTTTTAATTTGCGTTTTGATTCCGATGGCAACCAAATTGAACTTTGTTTCCTGTGTTGCCTGGGTCAGGCAAGGTGTTGCCAAAGAAATACCTGATCGAATTCAACTAACACAGGAAGAAATTCGATCAAAAATCGAAAGCGATCGACAAAAATTTAAAGAATTAAAAAGGTGATGATGATTATTTATGTTTTCTTTCATTTAATGATTTTATTTTCTTATTACAGTTCCAATCAGAATGAGCATATGGAGACAGATGAATCTTCATCACAAGTTGATCGAAATGATGAAGATCGTCAAATAATTGATCGCTATAATCTGGACGATTATGATGATGATGACAATGATGATGATTTCTTTGTACCGGATGATACGGCTGCTGATACATATCTAAATCGTGAACAAAATTATTCGGATGTAAGTTTGCTGTTTAAAAAACAATTGTTTTAAATTATTTCTTTTTTAGGACGAAGAAGAAAAAGACGATTTTCGGATTAAGCCAACGGATAACCTTTTACTAGCTGGCCATGTTGAAGAAGATAGTGTTTCACTTGAAATTAAAGTTTATAACAAAGAAGATGGTGTCTATGTGCATCATGAAATTTATCTTGCTGCTTATCCATTGTGTTTTCAGTGGCTCAATTTTGAAATGGAAAATGAAAAAAGAAATTTGGTTGCCGTTGGTGATATGAACAATGATATTAACATCTGGAATCTTGATGTCGTCGATATTCTTGATCCGGTTGCCGTGTTGAGTGGCCATAAAAAATCCGTACTTGATTTATCTTGGTCGGAAAAGGCTTCTAATATATTGGCATCAGTATCGGCCGATAAAAAATGTTTACTTTGGGATTTGAAACAACAAACCGTTGTACAGACATTTGATCAGTTTAAATCACGAGTTCAATCGGTATCTTTTCATCCACTTGAAACAAACATTCTATTGACTGGCGATGCTAAAGGTCACGCAAAGCTTTTGAACTATCAATCACTATCGATAAAAGATTGGAAGGTTTGTCAAAATGAAGTCGAAAAGGTTGCCTGGAATCCACAAGAACCATACATGTTTCTATGTGCCACATCTGAAGGTTGGCTATATGGATTCGATTGTAGAAATGATAATTCTCCTCTATTTGGAATCAAAGCTCACGATGAAATGATTTCGGGAATGGAATTCAGTTCGGCAAACAATGGCTGTTTGATGACTACTTCGGCTGATCAAAACGTCAAAATATGGTCTGTTTCATCGAAGGAAGTGAAATCTATTCAAACAATTCAGCCAAATGTCGGAATCATTTTATCGATGTCTGCCAATCCTGACCATTCTAACATATTTGCCATATCTGGAGATAATGTTGGTGAAAACATAAAAATTCTTAATCTTGACACTTATCCTGCAGTAAAAAGACAATTCAATCTTTGCTGATTGCTTTTAAATTGTGATTCATTAAATTTAATAAAAATTATTTTTTCGAATGTAAATAATTTTAATGTTCCTGTTTCAAGCAATAGATGTCACCGCATGTTCTACCATTGATCATTTAATTTAACATTCGAATCCTTTTTTTTCTGTTTAATTTTATACGGAAGATTATGAGGAAAAAAAATTCGACACACCTACCAAAGATCTAAATTCATATCTATAGATAAACTCCTGTATTCATTGCATGGATATAATTTTGAAAAGTCTATGAGGAAAAAACGCAACAAAAAATTAACTAAACTTTAATGATCCATATCAACGATTAATGGGTCTAGAAATTGTAACTTCGTTGATCATAATGAAAATGAGTTTTATTTTTTTTTTGTTTGTTTCTACTTTTGATGTCCATGGATGCTCAAATCCATGACTGAGCAAATACATGCCGAATTAAATTGTCTGTATTCAGATTTTGATGAAAAAAGAAATATTTTTGTTTGAACAGATTCTACATAAAGATCAGATCCTATCATTAAAGATGCGTTATTTACTTATTTTGTTGTTGTTGTTGCTTATTCAATCGATGTCGATTTCTTTTTTTCACCAAAGTTGCTTGCATTTTAGAATCTGAATATTATACAAAAAAAAACTTTAAGATTATTTTTCCTTAAATTCATCTTCATCATCATCATCATCCAGAGAATTGCCTTTGCCATTTTTTTTTTGTTTCTTCTTTCTTTGACTTTTTCTCATTTGTCGGTTGTTTTTCAAAAAAAAATACCCAGAAAACTACGACTTACTGACGACTGATCGCCTAGAATTTTGGGCGATTCTTTCTCGTTCAATTTTTGTTTTTTCGGCCTGCATGCTTTGGTTTCATCATCATCATCATCATCTTCTATGTCTAATATGTTTTTACCCACACACAGTACACTCTAATCTACAATTTAGTGCCACTTAATAATAGGCTTTGTCATCTCTAGTTTTTTTTTCGGGTCTCTTTTGGAGTTTTTCTGATTTTTTTTTCGCTTGGCATTTGTATCGTAAAAGTGTGTAGAAACAAATATTGAAAGAAAGAAAAACTATCTAAGCTATCTTATTCTAGACGACGATTTTATTTTTATTTTTATTTTCATTTTTTTTCATTTTTATTTTTTTTACTTTGACTTTCGTTCAATGAATTCTATAGAGGGGTGGTTTCATCATCATCATCATTATTATTCTTTTTTGGTATAAGATCATTTTTTTTCTTATTTCTTTTTCATCATCATCATCATCAATCGATCGATCGTTCGCTAGAGACACATAATATAAGTTTTGATATACTTGATCTTAAGATGTTTGTTTTGAAAAAAATTGCATGAAATTCTGTCCCATTTGTTGAAAATAACAATATTTGGATGCTTTGGTGTATGTGTGTGTGTGTGGAAGTGTGAAAAAGGTCTTGTTTTTTATTTTAAATTCCATTATCAACTCTTTCTTTTTTGTTGACTTTTTACAGTAGCATCGATAATCAAACAGCAGCTGGTGACAACAATTGTCCATTTTTTTCCGAATTTTTTTCTGTTTTTGTATTTTTGAATATCCAAAATGACCTTATGATCGGTCGAAATATTTTCCTGGTTACATTGTGCTGGGTATATCATCCTCATCATTGCCATCATCAAATCTATGTGTTTTTTTTCATTTCATTTCATTTCATTTTACATTTTATGGAGCACATTTCATACAATTTACATTACATACATAGCTAGATTGAGAGTATTAAAGTTTGTTTCATCTCACATATATATGAATAGTCGAATACATGTCCAAGTTAATTATATGTTTGACTTCCACAATATATATCCGTAAAAAATGTGTATGTTTTTGTGTGTATGTGTGTGTTATGACATGCAAGCAGATTTTTATTTTTTCAATCTCCAATTTCTTCTCTGTATAAAAAAAAAATATAAAATTTTTTTCCTATTTCGATCCTTCCACATGGTATCCCTTGTTCTCTCTAGCGATATGATATGATGATGATGATGATTTGGTCTCCATTTTTTTCACTGTATTTTTTTCATATGTCATCATCATCATTCTTTTTCAATGAATTTTGAAGACAGATTTTTTTTTATTTCGTACATATATACCTATCTCTATGTGTGACTGTGTTTTTGAATTTGTAGGATAGTATAGCATTTTATTAATATTCAAAAAAAAGGAAATTGATATTCCATTTTTGTTGTTGTTGCGTGTCATATGCATCATTGTTGAAATTAATTTTTTTTGTTCTTTGAATATTTTTTTTTTCATCAATTTTCGAATGTCATTGATTTTTTTTGATATTGTTTTTTTTTGGTTGTTGAAAAAATTAACAATCATAATCAATGATAAATGAATTCATCTAAACCAGAAAAAAATAGAGGCAGATTTTTGTTTTGTTTTGTTTTCCTGTGTTGTTCATACTGATAATTATCATTATTATGATGATCGAAGGGTTCAATTTTTTTTTTGGTTGATGACCAAATAATACATACATAGGAAAAGGCTTATAAAACTAAAAAAGGTCAGCTGTCGGTCATCGAATGCCGCCATAGCCATCATAATTTTCATATATAAATAGTCATAGCTATGATTACCGGTGTCGGTTCCAGAAAGAAAAAATCAATGGATCAATCGTCATCGTCTATCAAGAAAATATATAATCACATAGTCTGTATGTTACTTCAATATATGTTTATTCAGTCGATAATGAAAAAAAATGGTAATTTTAACTTGCGCCATAGACCAGATTCGAACATTTTTTGTTGTTGTTGCAAATTTTCGGGCACGTGTTTTTGACCTTTCTTTTACGTTCGTGTGTTATGATGATGATGGTCATCATCATCATTAGAAGTAATAATACAATTTGGTATAAATTGCTCTACTTCAAAATGAATGATCATTGGAGTTATGGTATTTTATTTAAGTAAAAGTCAATAACAAACCGATTGACTGACAGACAGTCAATAAGCAATGTTAAGAGCAAATGGCGCCTTTGCTATTCAGCATTCATCCATCATCAGTCCTAAATGATTACCGATTATGAATTCAAAATGGACAAACTATAGTCAAAAAAAAAGATAGAGTTTATATTAAAACGTTTATAATGTAAGATTGGGTAAAGAAAAAAAAAGAAGAATATTATTTCCATGTTTTCTGGTGATTTTTGTTATTTTCTCGCCATGGCATCAATTCATTTATCCATAGAATGGCAACAAGCAAACAGAAGAAGATGATGAAAAAAAATAACGTGGACAACCATAGGATATAATTATAATGTTTGCAACAACCAAAATCAGCAACTTGCTCAAATTTTTTTTTTTATCTATCTTTCGAACACATAGAAAGTTCATACAAGTATGAAATAGATAAATAAAATGTACATTCGCATTTTTTGAATCATGATTTCTATTTTTTTCTGTTTTTTTTTTTTCATTTCTTCATTTGATATTATTCATTTTGAAATTCTTCAACTTGTAGCTAAATTTCAAAAACAAAAACAAGATTTTTTTAAAATTTTTAATTTAATTTGCATTGATTTGCTCTATAAATTGATGACATTGGCCTTCATCATTTTTTCACATCAAATTATTTTGCCCTATACAGAAAAAAATGATGATGATGATGATGATGATGAAAAGAAAACCTATAAAAATTTTGACCAATACGGGAAAAAAAGTGACACTATTGAACGAAATTTTATTTGGTGGATGGTAGAAAAAAATAGAAAGATAGAGAAAGAGGCCACTTGATCAGCTATAGCAAAAGATTGATCGTGTCTTAAAACATTGCAATAATAAAGTATGTGTGTGTGGCTTGGTGATTGAAAAAAAAAGTTTTCCATTTTTTGTTTTTCATTTCACGATGTTGAATGCAATGATGATGATGTGATTCACTTACATACACACGCATAACATCTATCGATCCACATAGTTTCGTTTATTGAACCGAAATTAATGACCAATTCATATTAATATATTTCTTTTTTATATTTGACATCTGTGTTCTATCTATAGAAATGACCAGAACGAAAAATTTCATCGAAAGCATCTCCATTTTATATGTGTATGCAAGTAGCTGACCAGCTATATACACAGATAGACATCTGGACAATGAAGATGAATTAGATTTTAAATTTTTTTTTTTACTTCGTTATAGAAGACAACAATTCATTCATAGTTTGTGTACATTAGGTTATCTAATATAGAATAGTATAAAATATATGGATAAACATTGATGATGGATTTTTATGTAAGATGATCAAATTTTTTATTTTTCAAAAAAATTGATTGATAAATCTATATTATACACATTTTTCATACCATTTCTTCGATTTGATTGATTTGATCAATTCTAGCACTAAGGATAAAATTACTTAAAACGAAAAAAAAAATCCAAATCGTAATCAGTTTTGTTGTTGTGTAGGACGATGTGATCAATAAGGCAATTTCCCTCTCTTTCATTCTCTTCTCATTGTATGCAACATCAATCAAATAGGTGATTTCGATTAAGCGATTTTCATTTTTTTTCTGTTTTCAAATTCAATGATGATCTAACTTCATCAATGATGATTGCGGCGTCATGGCGCCATTTGTTTCAATACTTATACAGACATTATGTTGTTGATGATGGAAAATTTTGCTCAAAATAAATGGAATAAAATTAGAAATAAAAAATAAATAAGAAGAAAATGAATTAATGTTAAATTTTCGTGCCAAACCAGAATGAATTTGAAATGAGTTTCATACTTCATCGAAGATCACATGATAATGGTGATGATCATCATCATTATTCAATGATTGTTGTTTTTTTAATATGAAATTTTTTGAAGCAAATGAACACAAATCTATATTTGTTTTTGTTTCCTCAAAACAAGAGACATATTTTTTTCTTCTAATAGCCAAGTTCATTGTTAATAATGATGATAACTATGGGTGTGTAGCTGATATCATCACAAAAAATTAATCATAGTTGTTTTCTCTCACTCTCTCTTTCTCTTTCCTTTGCCATTTCCAATTATCGAAACAGAA